CCATTATACCCTGATTTCCCATTTTCAATGGGTTCAGGGTATAAAAAGAAACTTTACAAGAACTAACCAAAATCAGGTGCTGTATATTCAAGTGTAAACATACTTTTTTTAAAGAAGCATTTCAATTTGTGTGTATAAAGAAATTATCTGTAGGCGTAACGTCGGCAGTCGCTTTTTTTCAGCAACAGTTTGCCGCTAAGCGTTGCGCCGAGCAGTTGCGAATAACTGCAATTTCAGCAGTTCATTAGATAAATAAAAGATAATACGTGTCTTCAATTTCATCATAATACATTAACAGCTTGTTTTTCATATAATTTGGTAATACTTACAAATCATAGAGTTCCTATTGTAATCTGTCTATTTCGCTTTAATTTGCAATTGCAGACGGCCAGAATGAGTTAACGCGCTATAGCAGCGAAGATGTGTCCGGGAACGAATCGAGCGAAGCGCCGAATATGACCGAAGTGGAGCGTCAGGCGGAGCTCAACCGGCACAAGGAGGAGATGCAGAAGAAGCGCCGTAAGAAGCGCATCAGCTCCTCGCTGCACTCGTCAACATTTCAGGGTAAGTAGATAAACCTACATAGGCATGATATATATATCATAGATCTGTATAATAATGAAATTGAATTTCTCTATTCCCATTTTAGAGTTGTATAAGCTGACTGGCGAGATATTGGGCGAGGGTGCGTATGCATCGGTGCAGACGTGCGTTAACATCTATACCGATCTGGAGTATGCTGTGAAGGTTATCGATAAGATACCAGGACATGCGCGTGCGCGTGTCTTTCGTGAAGTGGAGACATTCCATCACTGTCAGGGACATCCGGGCATCTTGCAATTGATCGAATTCTTCGAAGATGATGAGAAATTCTATTTAGTGTTTGAGAAAATTAACGGCGGCCCATTGCTCACGCGTATCCAGGAGCAAATCTGTTTTTCGGAGCACGAGGCGGCGCAGATCATCAAAGAGATCGCATCCGGCTTAGATTTTCTGCACAAGAAGGGCATTGCTCATCGTGATCTCAAGCCGGAGAATATATTGTGCGTTAAAACGGATTCGCTCTGTCCAATTAAAATATGTGATTTTGATCTGGGCTCCGGCATAAAGTTCACCACGGACATATCATCGCCAGCGGCCACTCCCCAATTGTTGACCCCAGTGAGTTAGCCTTTATAACAAAACTTTAGATCATTATTTAATTCACGACTTCTATTATAGGTCGGCAGCGCCGAGTTTATGGCTCCAGAAGTAGTCGATTTATTCGTAGGCGAAGCCAATTATTACGATAAGCGCTGTGATTTGTGGTCTCTGGGTGTAATTGCTTACATCCTACTCTGCGGTTATCCGCCATTTTCGGGCAACTGCGGAGAGGATTGCGGTTGGAATCGCGGCGAGAACTGTCGGACGTGCCAGGAGCTGCTCTTCGAGTCCATACAAGAGGGTATGCATAGCAATGATAAGCTATTTAGAAGAACTGCTTTTAAGATTTTCTTTTATTTCGGATAGGCCGCTTTTCTTTTCCGGAGGCCGAGTGGGAGGATGTGACCGATGAGGCCAAAGATCTAATTTGCCGTCTTCTAGTTAAGCAGGCATCGAAACGTCTCAGTGCCGAAGCTGTGCTCAGCCATAAGTGGATTCGCATGTGCGAGCAGGAGCCGTTCGTTAACAAGCAAACGATCCGCCATAAGGCGCTGCAAACGCCAAACAATATCCGACGGTAGCTATAACAGAATCCATTTAAAATATTTAATATATTTATCAATTTTTTGTAATCGTTATAGTAACCATCAATCGGCACGTGAAATTTCCCAGTTTGCTGAGTCGGCTATGGCCGTGAAGCGGGTGATCCTGCAGCATTTCTCGATGCGCTACGATTATATGAAGGAACGCCCGAACATCTATCAGCCCTCGCAGGCCTATAAGGACGCGTACAGCGATGAGAATTATAATCCAAAGCCACCGGCTCACTATGTACGCAGTCGCTCTCGTAATGCATCGGCAACTGCATCTGCTGTCGTCGCCAACAACAACGTGAATGCCTCCTCTTCGTCCACTTACGGCGGTCGGCTGTCTACGGCTCAGCGCAGTGGGGGCAGTAGCCATAGCCGTCAATCGTCGAGGAATGCCTCTGGCATATTTAACAACAGCGGTGGCTTCAAGACCCTCAATGTGCACGAGGAGGACGATGACGATGAGGAGGCGTTGGAGGCTTTTGGCCGTCTGGATGAGGGTGTAGATGATGAGTGGGCACAGTCCACACGTCGCTATCAGGAGCAGCGCGAGCGTCAAAAACAACAGCAGGAGCAAAATCCGAAAACTGGCCATGCTGGCGATCCAATATATGATGATGATGAGATGGGAGAGGAGGACGAGGAGGAGAGAGAGGGCGAGGACTATCAGCATTATAAGCATTATTGGCGCACGCTCGACGAAGATGAGGGCGATGATTATCTCTATGAGCAGCAGCAGCAGAACGAGGAATATATAGCTGAAGAAGATGAGTTCGACGAGGAGGAGGAGGAGGAGCAGCATAAGCAGCTGAAGAAAACTGAAGCCGACAATCGAAAGCAATTGAAAGCTGAAGGTGATGAGAACGAAGAGGAGGAGGTTAAGGTAGTAGAGAATGAGGATGAACTTATTATTGATAATATGGAAAAACTAAAGCAAAGTGAATTTGCTACAAAAGCAACAACAATGCGCAACGATGCGCAGGAGAAACCCGTGTTTAAGGATGAGAAGAAGCAGGAGAACGAGGATGATGATGTTGATGGGCCTAAAAAGCAACAAGCAACGTCATGTGATATTAGTGCTACTACAATCACCAATACCAATACCAACACCAACACCAACACCAACAACAGCAACAAAATGCAAACAACACCAGTTAAAGCAACAACAACAACTAAAACCCAAACGAATGGCAACAAAGGCAATGATAAGGATAACGATTATGCTAATGATTACGATAATGATGATAATGATGATGATAACGATGATGAAAATGATAATGTTTATGATAATGATGATGATTATGTTAAACTATTGGATAGTATTAGTGATTTAAATGAAAAGCTACCTGAAATTTATGAGACTGCAAATATTGTTGTCAACTCAGCGGCAGTGCCGGCAGCAGAAGCAACAACAACACCAGCAGAAGCAGCAGCAGAGAGAGCAACGTGCCCACCAAACGATAATGATAATGATAATGATAACAATGTAGAAGATTTGAAAGTGCCGACAACTGCAGCTGAGAAGACAACAATGCGAACGACTTTTGGCAAACAACAGCAACAGCAACCGCCGCAGCAAGAAGAACAACAACAACAACAATCTGCTGGCAACAGTAACAAACAGCAGCGCAATGTTTACTTTGCATTGGATGCATATCAAAATGACGAGGATGCCGACATTGATGAAGAAGACGATGACTACGATGATGATGATGAGGATGATGAGGAAGATGATGATGATTATGATGATGAGCACGAGATGAAATCGGTTGGAAACGGTTTAAAGCCAACGATCCCAGCCATTTGTAATGCCTACACACGAAAGCAACGGCAGCAGCAGCAACAACGTTATGTAGCTCCACACGCCGAGCCGCACCGCCTAGAGAATTGGCGCCATCGCAGCCATCAACCGGAGCAGCCGCAGCGACATAACATGATCGCTCCTGGTGGCGGAGGCGGTTTTCGAAAGTACCGCCCACCCTTTAGCACTGGCGGCGGTGGCGGCCACTATGGCAATCAGCAGCGCAACTACTTGGGCAGCTTCTCTCACGGCGGCGGTGCCGCTGGCTACAAGATACAGCAGCAGCAACAACAGCAACAGCAGCAGCAGCGGCACAATAGCGCTGGAAGCAGCAGCGGCGGATCGCCGCCTTCCGATGAGCACTCGACGTCGCCTGCAACGCAGATTCGGAACTGGCGACAGGATTGCGTCTATGCGCCCATGCGTGGTTGCGGTATGAATCAGCCTAGCAGAGGCTTGCAGCGCGCCCATCAGCAGCAGCAGCATCATCATCAGCAGCAGCAGCCAACTGTTCGCATTGGCTCTGGCCGCTTTGTGCATTCGTCCCAAGTGCCGCCACATCTGTTGGATGAGCCGCCCACATTGGGCATCGGACTGTCGCCGCCCAGCGAGAGTCTATTGCTGCAGCGGCGCATGCGGCAGCAGCAGCGGCCCGGCGACTTGGCCGAGTATTGTGAGCCCGCTACGGCCAGTGGCTAAGTTATGAAGAAGAATAGCAACAACAACAACGATAACTGCAGCTGTCTGAAGGAGTCCCATGTGGTTGGGAATGGCGGCATTCGAGCCAAAATCGAAAACAAAATCAAAGTTTGTTTAAAGTTTTCTTTTTCGTTTTTTCTTTTGTTCATTTTCTTTGTATAATTACTTTTTATATACAAATCACAAAACAACAACAAAAACATCTTAAATTTGCAAATTATAATTAATAATTTGCTCGATTAATTTCTTGAAGCGTTATACATAACAAAAACTGTAAACAGCAAGAAACTACTTAAAATTCCGTCTTAATTTAATGCAAACTTAAAAAATTGTGTTTCTGATAATCGTTAAGATAAAGCAAAGAAGAGAGCCCTTAAGAAGCAATGCAAAATATGCTGTATAATTAAGCAAAAATAAGATGAAAGAGAAAAACCAAACAGTCGTTCGAATGAAAAATAAAAAACAAAAACTTTTTTTATAAAAAAGATTGAAAAGTGAAAAAAAAAAACGAACATGTAATTATTCGCTATAATTTTTTATTATGAAAATAAAAAAAGAGATATGAATGCAAATTGCGTTTAAGCGAGTTAGACACTCACTCACACTCACACACATATATATGTATAGATACACACACTTAATCGATGAAATTTTTTTCTATATTTGGAAATGAAAACAAAATCCAGTTGCCGCCAAAAATTGTTAATTTTTTGTGCTTTTCTGTTGGGATTAGAAGAAGATGAAGTTGTTTGCATATATCTGTTTGTTTTCTTTTTTTGGCTCAAGTATATCAATTACAAAAAAAAAAAGAAAATTAAAAAAAAACTTTGTAAACCATTAAGAAAATCCAAAATGTACAAGAAATTGTTTATCATTTTCATTTCAATTTACAGAAACTGTTACAAAAAAAGAAAAGAAAAAACAATTAAAAAAAAAAAAAAACAAAAAAAGTATGGAATGAATACACTTAAGATGAAACCTTAAAGAAACCTGAAGAATTGAGTTCAATTTTTGACGGGCTCTGGAGAACTGTTCAGGGCCACACACACTCACGTCTCACACTAGCTCTAAATAATTTTCAGCAGTTCTGTAAACAATTCTTATTCACCAGTTGAGTAATTGGCATTATGAATAAATTTTTGTATGAAATGCTTGAATATTACTAAAAAGTCCGCTTGAGCACACATTTGTGTGAAATCCAAGTAAGCAAATTTCCATTCCTTTAACAATCACGTTAAAAGCTCGAAATTCTAAATTCTGAAAGGGCACTTCCCCTCACTGTCTATACTTTTGACTAAATTTCAACTTTTCCAACACTTTCTTTATATAAAAGTAGGAGCAGAGAGAATTCTCGACACTTTGCTCAAGTATTTTTTTTTTTCTTTTGCTGGGCGTAAATGAAGAACATGTGTTAATTACAACATAATAATAATAATACAAATTGTGATATAAAATGTAAATGTAAAATGCACCTGAAAAATATTAAGAAACTATCAACTGACGCTGTGCCATTAACAACAACAATACCGACCACAACAACTACATAACACTGTTAACAAATGTAGCGGACCTAGATCGGGGTTTAAGGGAGACCGAAATTTCATTAATTATTATACTTTTTGTAATACTTTCGTTTTTTTCTGTTCCGCACGTTTACGCCCCCTCACCTCCCCCAACGAGAAGAGAGATGCAAAATGTCAGAATGCTTTGCGCCTCAACAATTTGTATACACATACGTATATAAGAACATACTTCTATTTTTCCAAACAAAACTTTAACTAAAAAATCATAAAAAAAAAACTAAATACTTCCATAAAAAAAAGAAAAACAAACTATTGCCTAGAACACACAAACAAAATAAAATAGAAGCATAATAATACTGCATATTTTTAACAACCTCTAAGAAAAGAAAAAAATAAATTCAGTTGCAAATTGAAAATGTTTTTGATATTTAAGTATGAACACCCCAGAGATAATTTTAAATAATTTATACAACTATGTATTCCTATAAAAAGAAACATCAACTAATTTGTTTGCATTGTAAACAGAAACTCACGATGATATTGATGATGGCAAAACAAACAACAAAAAAAGAAAAATCGAAAAAAACTAAGGAACGCTCTTGTTTTAATTTGTAAAACTGTGAGAAATGTTTCGCAACGAAACAAAAAAAAAAAACATATATGATACCATTTATAAGAAAGTAAAGAACTAAACGAGAGGCGTGTGTTAAGCAAGCAGCGCTCCAAGAGAGAGAATCGTATACTATACACAACACTAATTTACACTACACTACACACAAACATACACATTTTGCATATGAACTAAAATATAAGTATACTTTAGTTTTTGCAAGAAAAAGAAAGAGAAATGTCCGTAAATATTACGAATATAGTTTAGCCGTTACTATTTCTAATAAAACGCGCTAATTTACTCTTTGCAAATTCATATAAAAACTAATATACTCTGCGCGTCCTACTTTGAGTAGGGTGTATAAAGTGTGTGCATAGCCGGTGAGCGATTTGTATTTGTAAGCGAGTTTTTCAATCGAATGCAAACAATAACAAGCGAAGAAGTATATGGTTTTTTAACATGATTGGAGACATGGCTAACAGAAATCGAAAATTAAGCAACAACAAAAAATAAGATGAGATATTGTTTTATACAAAAAAAGAAATGAAAAAAAAAAAACGATAGAAAAAGTCAATAAAAATGCAAAATATAAAAATGTTAAAAGGAACGAGTTTTATTTTTTAGATTCTTCAAATACTTGTTGAAATTATAAGACTCATAAATGGATCAAATATGACAGTATGTATTGCAGAATATATTTTTACAAACTCTTTTAAAATACATATTTTAGGCATAGCTCGTTTTTATTGTAAACCCGATGAGTCCAGTCATTTTGATTTAGTTGTTAGCAATCCTTTATTTTGTTTATACCACGAATGTGATTTCGAGTCCTGCTCTATATTAAAGAAATTTTCTGTTTGGTATTACGTGAAATTGTGTTCAGCTTCCCGGCTAAACAGTGTGTGCCCCTTCAGGTCCTTCTCCCTCCCCATGATTTGCTCGAACTTCGCCAGACATTAGGTTTACCGAGGTGACGGTGCTATTAACGCCCTCTTCACTGTAACTGCCCCCAAGCAGGGGCTTGACATCTGGTTGCTGCTCGCGAGCTGTGCGTGGCTCAAAGCGCTGATTGTTAATGTCTTCGATTGCCTTGAGCAGCTAAAATAATAGAGATAATATTTGGCTGAAATATTTGTAAAGCGCTTCAGTGTCTCTGCGCCTCACCTCCTTCAGGCTGACGACGCCCACAAGACGGCCAATGTGGGTTACATAGGCATGATTCACGCCCATCATTGAGAACAGGGAGTGAACTCTTAGCAATGAGGTGCGCTCCACCAGCTGAAAGGGTGAGGGATCGATGCGAGCCGATGCACTATAAAAATCGATGGGTTTGCTCAATTGATCCAGTTCCCAAAGCTTTTTGCCCTCGGGTGACATATCGACAACTCGATCGCCAATCTAGTTTTAGGCTATATAATTAATAATCAGAGCATAGCCAATGCCATCGCACTTACCAGCTGCACTCGCTTTGAGGGACTGACCACCGGCTGCAGCTGCTCATTGGAGCCTAGCTCAAGGTCGAGATCGGAGTCCGTGGAATTTTTAAATATAGACTGAAATGTCGAGCGTTGACGTGCTTTGGAATCGCTGTGAACGCAGTTCAGCGAGTCGTTTACCTGCTGATTATTCTGCATCGAACTTAATTTTTGTGGATCCGGTGCTGGTACGACCTCAAAGCGTGATGGTCTTCGCTCGGCCGCCTGATCCCTGAGCTCCTCCGCGCGCCATTTTTGTGCAATTTCCATGCGTTTCTCTCGTCCAATTTGTTCCTCGATCAATTTCACTAGCTCCTGCCGCTGCACAGAGCCAATTAGGATCATCTTCTCGGGACTGTCCACCAGTGGAATGGAGCGCAGCTTCTTGTTCATGCGGAGTACCTCCTTGAGCTGCTGGTAGGTGATGCCCTGCCAAATGTACTTGACGTCGCGCAACATAAAGTCGGACACCTGCTTGTTGTACATCGAGGAGCTGGTGTACAGCAGATCGGGCAGATAGGGCAGCTTCTTGATCATAATGACGCTCTCATACATGGAGGGCTGTAGCAGGGAGGCGACGGCATTGGCCACCAGCACAGCTACCAGGACCGGCACCACAAACGCAATTTGTCCAGTAATCTCGAAGACCACCACAGCCACAGAAATCGAGTGAGTCACCGAGCCGGCGAAGGAAGCCGCACCCACAATCGCATACGCTGCGGGCATTATTGGGGACATGCACTTGCCATAGCGCACGCCCAGCGGAAACATCCAGGCGACGAACTCTCCGGCCAAACGGCCAAAGCCGCTGCCAATCTTCAGAGCTGGTATGAACATGCCATGTGGCACGGCCATGGTGGAGGCAATAATGGATAAGAAATACTAAGAAATAGTTTGATGAGCTGGATGGATTAGCCCTTGGCTGGTGGGGGAGTGAGTCTACGTACATGGTAGAGCGTATAGTATACGAGGTTGCTAAAGATGCTCGTGTACTTGGTGGACCACTGCGCTACAATCTTCGCCTGTTTCTCACTAAGATGTGTCTCCGTCCACGTAAAGTTGCTGAACAACTGCGTCAACTGATTCTCTGTGCTAATATCCCCACCCAGGAATTGTCCAGTGCCCAGGGGAAACGTCAGTGTAGATATTAGCAGAGCCAGCATTCCGGGATATAAAAGGCGGCTGTAAAAGGTATAGAAATCAGTTCTATTAGATCTAACGAATGACAATACAATATACAATAATCTAATGGCTGCAGTGTCGGTATCAAAATTTTTGACTAACTGATATTCGGACGGGTTCGTCAATCTGATCGATTGACCGATGGTTACCTAATTAACTATTTAAGAATATGACATAGACATCACTCACTTCTTCTGCAGAAACTTGTTCAGCTTCGTGCTGGAACGTATGAAGAGCACATAATGCCGATGCACCCAGACAAAGGAAGCGCCCAGCAATCCACAAAGTGCTCTAAGAGAGAAAAACACATATGAGCAGCAAATCAGGTAGATTAGAGAAGATCTTACCCAGTCAAAGCGAAGAAGGCAAGCTCCCTGGAATCGAAAGGAAACTCAGTGCTTATATAGGTGGGATAGACCGCTGTCACTGTGTCCGCACCCTGGAACCAAACGGCCAAAAGGCGCACTGCCGAAGCGCCTACGACACAGCCGAAGAAACCACGCCAATAATTTCGCACCGCAAAGTAAGTGGTGGTCACCTCGATGCTAAAGAGCACAGCTGCAATTATTTTATTTTATATGAAGAACTAACTATTTTATATGAAGAACTAAGCATTGTTATATATCTATATTACAATTTTTACCTCCGATGGGTGCTGCGAAACAGGTGCCTAGACCTAGGGCGCAGGCAGCGGCCAGCATTTCGGTGCTGCGCGATTCGTTCTGGTAGATGCTGCGAAATGGCGTGGCCAACTTGCTTAACAGATGTGCCACGATGCTGGCAATGTGGACATAGGGGCCCTACAACAATGAAGGACAACTTAAAGCCTTTAGAAAAGTCAAAGAGATATAGTTGTTCACCTCCTTGCCCAGTGGCATGCCGCTACCCAATACGAATGTGAGGCCCAACACCTTAACCACCAGGGTCTTAAATGTGAGATAGTTCTTAAGGGGAACGCCACGCAGAATAGTTTTCATTTCGGGTATGCCGGATCCTATAACGAAAACTCACTTAAAGCCAAAGAGTTGCAGACTAAATAGTGCAAATTACCTGCGGCTTGGGGTGCCCAGTAATGTATAAAGCTGGTGGTTATCAAGATCATAAGGACGGGTACTGCGACCCAAGCGAAATACCTCGCAAATGGATCGCCAGTGATTTCATTATAGAACCAAAAACGTGCTGAAATCATATCGAAAGTGTTGAATATATCAAGAAATGAGATTGGCAACTCGAATTACCTTCAATAAACAATCGAATGCCCTCATCCATGGCGAAAGATATGAGGGCCATGATGATGCCACAAGCTGTTAGAAATATCCAATCCTTGCTCAGGCGCTCGGACAAATGATGCCAGATCCAGGCGGACATGCTGTGCAGGTGTGTAGGCTCATTTGATTGCAGCTGGAATAGCTACATATAATAGAAATGCCCACGTTTATGGGTATTATTTTATAATTATTCTTTTTCATGAGTATAAATATTGTACTTATAAACAATTAAAATTCAATTAAGTAAAATAATTATTTATTATTGAAAATATTTACATTGAAGGGCTTAATATTCGTTAACACTGTAAAGACATTACTAGTCACTCCGCCTTATCATGTCCAGAGACTTATTACTCATATACCTTAGTGAACGAGTGGCTAATCAGAAAACACATGCCTTTTCATGTGTAGCAATTGATAATTAAGTTACTGCTGATCTCTATTGATCTCCTCTATTAATTGGCAGCTCTGGAGTCTAAGCGACAAAAACACAAAACAAATTTAAGATTCAACTCGACCCAACTGGTAAAAAGTAGTAACTTCTACAGCTTTGCAGTAAGACAGTCGAAGCGTGACAACTAACTTACTTCCAATCAATCAGTGGGACTTCCATATTGACACCATTAATGTATATGTAATTGTATATTGTATATATTTTTATACTCTGAGCCCATTGAAAATGGAAAATCAAGGTAAAATGTTTATATGCATATATGTATGTATGTATGTATGTATGTATATATCAACTAACTTACTTCCAATCAATCAGTGGGACTTCCATATTGACACCATTAATGTATATGTAATTGTATATTGTATATATTTTTATACTCTGAGCCCATTGAAAATGGAAAATCAAGGTAAAATGTTTATATGCATATATGTATGTATGTATATATCACTTAAGTGCTGACCTGATTCCGCAGCTTATCCTCCTGTTTGCGCAGCTTTGCGAGCTTCCGTAGTCTTCGCGCCTCATCGCCAGCAAATTGTTGCAGATCCCTCGAATACCTGCCATACATCTACAGATGAATCAGAAAATGATAAAGATATTAGGCGTATGACTCGACAACATGGTAGACGGTTGACGAAATCAAAAACATTTCGGATTAGACCATATATGTGTTAATAAATTAATATATTAAGATAGGCGTATGTCATGTGTATATACAATATGAACACATTTCTGTATAAGAAGAGAATGGCAGAAAATACTGGAATTGTAAAAAATTAAAAAATTTTAACTCAGAAGTAACAATATTAAAGAAGTGTGACCCTCAAGGGGACGAAATATATGTATATATACATATGTATTTGCAAATATCAAAATCAAATACAAACAAATTGCCGTCTGGCACCTGGTGCCAACTTATGTCAGAGTGCTAACAAATATTTAGACCACATAATTGACAAATTATCACTTGATGCTCGCCAATTAGTTCTCAAACAATAGCCATGAGTTTAAGTTGGGAGAATATCTTAAAGTTGTTTATTTAAAATTTCATTATAATTTCAATAAAGAGCCTCTTTGCTGTATTATAATTTCCTTGGTTGCTAAGCAGCTTTTATGACCTGTAAATTTGTTTCTATTTTCTTATACAGATCATTTGATTTAAGTTAAATGGTGAACTAGAAGAAGAGTTGTTCAATGAGGATCAAAAAATCCTGATCCATTGTTACTATTATTATTTCTATTATTATTATTATTGCTATTATTATTACTATTAATATTATTATTATTATTTCTAGCATTATTATTGCTATTATTTTTTAAGGGATCACCGAATTTTCACTATTTTCACTTTTTAATCTATGGCCAAGTCTTCTCGTCTTTGTCAGCGCTTACCAGAGTACGAGTGTAGCCTAGATCTTCCTGATCATCGCCCGCGATCTCAAGTGTCACCTGCTCATGCCGTGTGATAGATCCATTTGAATATGTGTCTGGGGATTGTGGCACCAAAGTGGCTGCACCCTGCTGCTGTACATCATCTGCCTGGCTATGACGTCTCATTCTAGTAGTTAGTTAATAGTTCAGCTGTGACTGAATTTAATTTAATTATAATTTTTGTAAATTATTTTTTAATTTAAATTTATATAGGAATTCACTTTTTACTTTAATTAAATAATTTGTTTTACTCTTCTAGATTTATTAGAAGACACATCCGTGCTCGAGCGCAGCCAAAATGGGATTATCAATCCAGATCAATGAAGGCGGTGAGTCTGGTGCCCTCAAGCGACTTCTGCTGCTGCTTCCTCAGTCCACTTGGTCGCAGGTGATAATCGAGAGAGCTGAACTGGCCAAAAGGCCCAACGGGCTGCTTGTCGCCAATCGTTCTCACTTCGCGTCACAATACGATCGTAAATGTGCCCTGTATAGCTAGTTTGGGAGTAGTGTATGCTGATGCAAAAAGTTATAAAAATATTGTTTATATTGGAACTTGGTGTTTTATTATTAATCTGTGCAATTTAAAGTACACTATACGAAATTCGACTACAGGGTATCTGCAAATTCAGCTGAGATTTTGTTAACGTGGCTCCATATTTGTGCAGTCTTAAGCGCTGTTAACTTGCTGTTAATGTTCGCCCACAGTGTTAAAGTTCTGCATACTACAATTTGATTGGGGCTAATTGGTTTTTTGAAAATGAATTTAAGAAGTATAGGAGTATCTGGCGGACCGGGAACTCTGGTAGGCCAGAAGCGTTAACTAATTCAGACTTTAAAGGTATGCCAGTATATACCATACTTAGTTCAAGCTCTTCTTTTTCTATTTTTGCATATAAATACATTCCTGTGAATGTAGGTATAGAATAACTCCGTTTTCAGTTCTTCGTGGAATCAGGGTATATTCTAATCAGGCCGTTTCGACTAGATTACTCTTCTTAGATATCATTGGCCAATATTAATATGCACAAGTGATTCAGCCAGTATTTTATATCCTTAAGTACAAACGAGAGAATAGATAAATGAGGCAAACCAGAATAAGTATCAGTGGCCAGTGGGAGAACATGTTGGATTTGGAGGTACATTTATGAAGTAAGCCCGATTTCCGAAAGTTCTGTAGGAGCTCAGACTTCATTTCATTATACAGTGGATAGTTGAGAACCGTGAACTTGGAAGGGAAACCAGGCTTTCCTGTGCATTCTTTGACTAAATCCTCCGTTAATCTGAATTTATACGGAAGACAAACCATATAATTAACTGGTTCGATTATCCTATTAGATGTTGGCTCGACAAAATTCCAAGCATTATTCATTTTAATTTGCCTTTCAGAAAGAAGTGCAGAAGATCCCATAGATACTAGGTATTGTTCGCCATTGTCTGACTGAAATTGAAATATTGCATATGGAGTGCCTGGTTTTAATATTAAATTACGATATTTGTATATCATATCTATTGAGTATCTTCCCACGCATATTTTCGACCAAATTTTGTTACTAATTGTTCTACAGATTTTATTCCGACGACGACGCATACTTCACAAACAATTTTTACTTGACTTGAATATCGAAGAATTTCAGTTTACTTATAACAAATATTACTTCTGGGTTCATGTGAAAAATTCCAAGCGGGCTTTATACTTGTACATACTTGGATGATCAAAAAAATGGAATTTCAGAGTATAACGGTTTTTTCAAAAACTATATGTAATAGGAAGATAAATAAAGAATCATCATTCTCAAAGTGAAACTGAAAAGACGATATTGGTTTTCCCGATCCGCCCACTAGGGGCGTGGCAGATCGGAAAATGCAAAATCGGAAAACTACATTTTTCAGTTAGGTTACCCTTAGCTCATACTAAGAACTGCCAAAAAATTAAGTGTCTACGTCAAGTTGGGGCTTGGCAAATCGGGAAAAACTGCATTTTCTGCAGTATTAGAGCTAGACATTGCTAATGGAATGTGAAGGAGTATTCTGCAGTCGGTAACGCCCGACTCAACGTTTTTATTTGTTAAATATCATTAAGTATAAATTATGTTTATAAATAATATCGAATTACTATAAATTCAGCCGAAACTTTTAAGTTTTAAGTAAAATTAAAAAATATCAAATGAGTATCATGTGATTTGATTTTCCATATAATCCTAAGAAGACATGGGAAAATGAGGAGTTTTTTTAAATTAGCTATCTCAACTTTTCAATTTGTTATCGAATAAACTATCAATCTTATTCGTTAACTGTTGTTTTGCATACCTTGATGTTCACAAAAGGACTTTGTACGAAAGGTCTACAGTCTTAAGCTTTAAGTAAAAATGAGACAACACAAAAATGAACAAGTAAGAAAACTCTAGTCGAGACTGCTCGACTAGGAGATACCCTGAACCCT